GTCAATTCACAGCTCACACCTGAATACCCTCTCTTTCTCCATTTGATTTCTCTATTTTTGCTTTAAAGGTTCAAATTAATAGTCAAAACTAGCATATTTTTGTCGATTATTAACCAAGCATTGTAGTTGTTTTGTGTTGTGTGTCATGAGAGTAGAGAAAGAGGACGACTATGAAGAAGAATAAAGAAGGATTTGGTGGATGTTATATTGTAACATTTTGTTCTGATTGAGGCACGTGCAAACTAAAGGTGTTTTACAAGGGCAGTTTAGTCATTATGTAATTAAAAGGGCCGTATGGTCATAATAGTATGCATGTGACCATCACATGCTTTTCTTGTAATGACCCTGTCTTTTCTTCATTTCTCGATTTTCCGTCATTAATTTTTTTATTATTTAATTATTTAATATTGTCTTTTCTTGTGACCTTAGGGTTTTTAGTTCGGGTTTTGAGTTTTGAGTTCACGTGCATCTTCATTATTTTATTTCTATAAAATGCGTAGTCTTACTTTTGTAGAAAAACATGTTATTAGTTTACTTTTCCCGTAGGGGCGTGGATACATAGTTTCTTCGGGAATATTTTTGTTTAACGTGGTGTTTTTCATAATTAAATTTTCTTTAGATATTTTTCTTAGGGACCTATTTGCAATTTTATTTTGAAGATATTTTGGGGAAGGACATTTTTGTAATTTTCGAAAAGTGTGATAATTGTCACACTCCCATTGGTCCACTTGTCATCATTTTAATGGGGACACTTGGAAGCCTTGGATAATGACATGTGGAGGGTGAGGATTCACCCACTTGGTGTCCTAGGATTGGTCCACTTGTTGGCCTTGGATAAAGGCAAGTATAGGGCTTGAATTAAGCCTTGAGAAGAGGCTTTAGATGGTGACAAGCGTAGGCTTTTGATTAATCTTGTGAGTGGCCTAGCTTTGTGACAAGTGGAGGGCCTAGATTTGGTCTTGCATATGTTTGTGTGAGATGAAGTGTTGGTGTGTGTGTGTTGGGCCAACTTAGGGTTTGAGTTAGTGGAGGAATTAGAGAAATTTTCATTTTTCTCTAAACTTCCACCTTGCAGCCAAACAGAACCTGATTTGCCATTTTCAGTTTTTGAACCTCTCGTGGACTTTGTTCATTTTCTTTACTCCAGAGACTTTTGGCCTACCATCCCTTTCTAAGTATAAAGTCTTTGTCCTTCTTGCCTGTCCTTATTTGTCGACGTCCCTCTTAATTCACTTGAATTTCTAATAGAAGGGGAAAGACTAGCTTTTTGGTATCCAACATGATCGAAATTTCTCAATATCTTCGGAAGTAACATCTTCTCACCGAAGCTTGAACTCAACTCGGAATCGCGACATAGTCGCCGGTTTATGTGCTGGAGCCTGAAATCACCTCGATATCATGACTTCCCCACCGATTTTTCTCTTCTTCAGCTATGTCAATGGGAGGGAGGGAACTGTCAATCCCTAAAGTGATAAAAGAGAGAGAAATGACGGATCAATTGAATGGGTATGTAATGTTTGTGAGATATATATATATATATAATGTTAAAAGAAATAAAGCTAGTGGGCTCCACCAATACATTAGACACCATAAAAGGGCCTAAAGGCCTTTGACTGGACTGTTTTTTCTCTTTCTGCATATCTCGCTCTCTCGTTCGATTCCAGTAGCTTCTTTTCCTTTTCTTTTCTTTTTTCTTTTTCAATTTCAAGCTTTAATTCCTCCTTCCATACTTGGAATATTTGGGTGCCGTTTGTGGCAAATCGAAGAGCACGGCGAGATATACTTATGAGTACCAACAATTTCAGTTTTGGTGCACTATATGGAGTTCAAAATTCTAGGGTTCTTGGGCTCAAATTGGGGGTTTTCATTAATTTGAGGTAGGGGTGCTCTAATCCACTAATTCTTGCATTTCTTGTGAATTTTTCCCCTTAATTTGACTTAAGCATACTTACTTTTAATTTTTTTTTTTATTATGTTTATTAGGGTTATTTATATTGATGGTGATAAATGTGTGTTATGTGCTAATTGGACTTATTAGTATGATGATTTTTAACTTGTAAAGAAGCATGCTTAGTGTCGATTTGTTTTCATGATTTTCAATTGCTATGACAATTTATGTGGAAATGAATTTGTGAATTGTATATTTAAATTACTAGTAAAATGAGAAATGAAAATATGGGTTATCCATTTTTAGTAACTTATTAATTTATTGAAAAATATATGTGGAAACTTTATGATTGAATTGAAGAAATTAAGTATGAAGCATTTATGCATCCATTGCGAAGAAATAGAGGGAAAAATGTTTTAAAATAAATGAATTTGTTCTTGAAAAAATAAAAAAAAAAATTTAAAGGAGTTTGCGAAAACCAGACGCCTAGGAGACGCCTAGTGGTCCGTGATGTTAATTTAGTCTAGAAGGGAGCATGGTTGAGCTAACTAGGCCGGATACGACGCCTTGGAGGTGTCTTGTGGTCGTGGATAGTTAGTCAACCCTCCATTCGTGACGCCTTGGAGGTGTCTTGGGTCGGATTACACTAACGGTTTTTAGAAATTGAAACGGAAATGTTTCGGAAGATGGGGAGTGACATTTGCATGACATTATGGTAAACTTGTGATTGGTTGATATTTGTTACATACTTGTTATTGTATTTGAGAATGTGCGTTTCCCTATAGCATGATCCCGTTCACTTTTTATCTATTCATTATATGGATTCACGGGGATATAAGAAGTGTGTCTTAGACACTTCCTACTGAGCTTATGCTCACCCTATTATTTTTAACATTTTTCAGGATATGGAAAAGAGGTGGCGGACGACGGTCTACTACAGGTTTAGACAAGCTTGAAGACCCATTCTATTTTGTTATCTTTTGTATTAGACTCTAGTATTTTGTAAATGTAATATTAACTATCATGTGAAACTTTTGTTTATTTAGTATAATGTTATAAGCTATGAATTATAACTACATTTTTGGACTGTAGATTGATGTAATTAAAGTGTGTCCCTTGTTTAGATGAGATGGAGGAACGGGACTTTTGTATGTGTGTAACCATTTTGGGAATGTAATATAATATCTGTATTATGCGTTGGGACATGATAGGTTAAATTTAAGACCCAGTGAGACCATTGCATTTATTTTTGTATTTCAACAGGTTGTAGATGGACTTTTTCTGCGGAGGTCATGCCGAAATTTTATATATTTTTTTAATTATTATTTTGGTATCCTTTTGAGGCGTTACAGGGTAGTTGGGTCATTTAGCAACAAATTTTCTTGTCCACATCAGCTTTTTATAAAACTCCATTTATTTGAAAAATTGAAGTTTGACTCCATCTTTTTGGCCTTTTACCTCTAAAATCCCTTTTTTTTTTTTTTTTTTTTTTTGGAATTATCCCTTAATTATATTTAAGATTGAGGAATGGGGCCTTTATTTATATCTACTTTAACGGTTCAAATTGTTCAATTACAACCATTCATGCTGAAAACTTCCCCTATTTATTAATCTCAAAGAAAACACCAGAGTAAGAAGAAAAAGAAAATAGAGTGTTATACAGTTGTAAGGAATATATATATAGAGAGAAAATGCTGACCATATATTAACACCGAATAACAACACTATATTTACAAATAACCTGTAATATATATATAGAGTGAAAATGCTGACCATAACATTAACCCGACCTGTTTATTAAACAAGTTACACGTGTACCCCGTCACATATTTACAAAAATAAAATTTTAAATTATTAATAATACTTAATAAAACAATAAATACTAAAAAAATATAAGTTTCAATTTTAGAAATTACTTAATAGTATCTAATGTATAAAAGAGTTAATTATAATACAAAAAGTTAGATAGTAATTTTAGAACTTAAATGAAAATTTATTTATGACACATATAGTTAAACGTGTATAAACAAGTTACACGGGTTGAACTATTTAACCTAAGCACGATACGATTAATTAAACGAGTTAATCGTGCCGAACCGTTTACAACCTGAACTTGTTTAAAATCAAACCAAACCCACTTAACGAGTCGTATTAGTAGGTAATGTTAAATTTTGCCACCTAGATATACTACAGGATTGTTTTAATTATTTAAATACATTACTTAAAGAGATGAGGTTGGTCCATCGTAATAAGATTTTGTGGGCCACCTTTTAATGGCAAAGGAAATGACCATCGTCCTTTATAAAATGCTTTGGCACATGCAACACCGAGTAGTGAGTACTTGAGAAGGGCGTGAATCACCTGCAGTGAGGTTCCCATGCGATTTTCTGCTGTAACTTTTAAGTGGTCCATATTTGGCCACATCATTCTTTAGTTAACGGATACTAAGGCCGTGTTTGGCCAATTACACCATAACATTTTACCACCATTTATAAGTAACATTATAGAGTCTAAAAAGTAACATCACCATTTGTAAAAGGAAACATCACCACTTTTAATTTCAAATAACACCACCATTTATAAGTAACATTTCACCGCCATTTATAAGTAACATCGCAGAGTCTAAAAAGTAACATCACCACCATTTAAGTAGCAATTGCACCACTATTTATAAGTAACATTTCACCATCATTTATAAGTAACATCACAGAAGTCTAAAAGTAATATCACATAGTCTAAAAAGTAATATCACCATTTGTAAGAGGGTAACATCACTACTTAAATGGTGGTGATGTTACTTTTTATACTATGTGATATTACTTTTAGACTTTTGTGATATTACTTATAAATAGTGATGAAATGTTATTTATAAATAGTGGTGCAATTGCCAAACACATGTCTATTAAGTGGAGTAAAACGTGACCAAACCAAAGCCATTTACCGCTCACTGTAAGAAACAACATGGGAATCGCACAGCAGGTGACTCGCGCTCACTTGAGAAAGTAGTATCTACTTTAACGGTTCAAATTGTTCAATTACAACCATTCATGCCGAAAACTTCCACTATTTATTAATCTCAAATAAAACACCAGAGTAATAAGAAGAAGAAAAAGAAAGTAGAGTGTTATACACTAGTAAGTAATATAGAGAGAGAGAGAAAAAATGCTGACCATAAACACCGAACAACAACACTATGATCGCCTGAAAGAGGTGAAACAGTTCGACGATTCCAAGGTCGGCGTCAAAGACCTGGTTGACTCCGGACTCACTTCCATCCCTCGCTTTTTCCATCACCCACCCGAAACCCTACCCGCCCAACCCACAACTACCTCCGCCCCTCGGACCATTCCCGTCGTCGATTTATCAGAATCCCGGTCGACAGTTATTGAGCAGATCAGACGGGCCTCGTCAACCCGCGGATTCTTCCAGATCATCAATCACGGCTTCCCCCAAGGCTCCCTCGACCACATCATCGCCGCCATGAAAGATTTCAACGAGCAACCGACGGAGATAAAGGCGAAGTACTACCACAGAGAGTTAGGCAGCGGCGCAGCCTTCTCCTCCAACTTCCACTTGTACCACTCCAAGGCCGCCAGCTGGAGGGACACGTTTCAGATAAGGTTGGCACCCAATCCTCCCAACCAGGATTCCGTTCCGGAGGTTTGCAGGGCAGCGATGCCGGAGTGGAATAGGGAGATCGGACGGCTGGGAGAGGAACTGATGGGGTTGTTGTCAGAGGGATTGGGGTTGATTACGGACAGGCTGAAGGAGTTATCCTGTTTGGATGTGAGGGTAATTACGTCCCACTATTACCCCTACTGTCATCAGCCTGATCTGACGATTGGGATCTCGTCTCACACAAATCCAGGAGTTTTGACGGTGTTGCTGCACAACCAGATAAATGGGTTACAGGTTAAGTACAGTGAGAATGATTGGGTGGATGTTGAACCTGTTTCTGGGGCTCTTGTCATCAACATTGGTGATATACTTCAGATAAGCAGCTTCACTTTCAACTTATATATATATATATATATATATATCGGATCCGGCTCCTTTTAGTTAAAAACCCTCTCACAGTATCTATGAGTATTTCATCCAACGGTTGAAAGAGTTGCCACATCATCATTTTAAAATAAGCCCAAAACGCTAACGCTTTCTTCAAACGGAGTCATTAACGATTTTTTTTTTTTTTTTTTTTCTTTTTTCTTTTTTCTTCCTCCAATTCTTCTCTCTCATCTGTTTCTTCGTTCTCTCTCTTCTTCCTCTTACCGCCCCCAACCACGGCCGCCACTAATTCCACTAAACCACCCCAACAGTATTCTTCTCAAGGAGACCACTGATAACCGCAAAAAACTTAACTCACTCCGCCAGGAAAAAAGGGTCTTTGGAATCGGAGCTAACACGGTCTGAAACGGAAAATGAGGTCTTGCTGGGCGAGTTGACTCAGTTGCAAGACGGTATAGCACGACTGAAGTTGGAGAGGAACTTGGTTTATGAATTTATTTCTGTGTATTTCAATCAACAGGTTGAAGTGATTGTGGATGAGAGAAATGGGTTTGTGAGAGAAAGAGCAGAGATTGAAAGGAGATTGCAGAAACTAGAGAGAGAAATGAGGGAAGTTATGAGGGAGAAGAGTGAGATTTAGAAGGGGAAGAGAGAGAGTCTGAAATTGGTTTGTTAGAGAAGAAATTGAGCGAGCTTCTCGTTGAAATTGAAAAAGAAATAAATATATCCAAACATTTGATGTGGGATGAAATTGTTAGAGAGAAAATTGAGATTGATCAAGTGAAAGTTAAAAGGAAAAGTGAAATTGTTGAAATACAGAAAAAGACTGCTAAACTTAGGAATGTTACATCAGTTTTGGAAGATTCGAGCAAGGATGAAGTAGCGAAAAATGGGCAATTACAATCTGAAGTTATCCAATATAGAGATGAGACTAGAAAAGGACTTGATGAGGAGAAAAATAAATGGTACAAGACACTCTATTGAAGATCAAACTGAGAGCCGCCTGAGAAAACTGGCATCGGAATGGAAAACGGTGCCTCTAATGGCGACATTCTGGCCCGCTGGTAACCTGAATTTCGCTTGCCTTCCCGCCATCGCAGTCCTCTCTCCTTCCATATCTCTGAACCTCTGCAAATAGATCTTCAACGGTTCGTCTTCGAAACCAAAGGCCGTCATGGCCCAGAGTAAATCGTCGCCGTTGATGGTCTTCCACTTCTCTCTCTGACACTTGTCGGAGGCCTCGCTGGTGATGAAGCAGATGAGCTCCGACACGCACTCTTGCATCATCTCCTTCGCGTCCTTCGAGATCTTCGCGTTCGCTGGCAACACCTTCATGATCTGGCTATCGGGAGGAACATGTCCTGCTCTCTCGACGAGAGTTCACTGTTCCCGGCGTGGCTGTGACCTCCGCCTCCAGACTCGTCATCGGAATCCGCCATTGAGCCGCCTCTACAAAAATATAAGAAATTCCTCAATGTTTTTACGAAAGAATTGGAGGTTGAGTTGGTGGTAGTAGGCAGTGGCAGCTGTTTAGGTGGTAGGATAATAACTCATATTTATCATCAAAGTTCCATAGTTTCGGAAAAATTAAATTGATCAAAATGCTGGATATGAAAAAATATTGTTCAACTGGATATGAAAAAACATCTCATATTCCACTTTTTGTTATCCGTTACCACTTTTGTGCTGTACAAAAAAATGGTACATGTGTGTGATCAAAAAGTGATACCTTTATATCAAAAACAAAAGTGATAACTTATAATAAATTTGTAATACAAACATTGAAATGGCATTCTTTTTTATTGCTACTGTCATTGTTATTATTTTGATATTAAGATTTTTTTTTTTTAGGGTTCTTGGTTCTCGCGGATTCTATATGAACGAACCGTAGAATTTTTATTAATTATCTTGTAACTGTATCAACACACAATGTATTTGTTCATTGTTGGAAGACTTAACTTTGTTTCTGCAGATTATATCCAATGATGAATGCAGAAGCGTCGAGCATCGAGTGTTAGCCAACCCACATCTTGAGGCACGCGTCTCTATTGCAGTTTTATGCAACCCAGGCATCAGAGAGAACTTGTATGGACCACTGCCGGAGCTTATGTCACCGGAAAAACCAGCTGTTTACCACCAATTTACATTAACAGACTTCATGGGAAGATTCTTCACGAAGGAGTTGGATGGAAAGACCTTGACTAATTACTATAAACTCTGATGCACAAAAGGACCAACGCTGGATGGATGAACAAGAATTGCAGGTACCATGTTTGTATAATCTGTAAATTAACAATAATTGTGTTTTTGTTCAATATGGTCAGAAGGCACAACTAGTGAAATAATTACATAAACAAACTCTGTATGTATTTTATTTACTTACCGTATAATTTATGTGTGATGTATGGTTGATTATCGCTTATCATGTTGTTTAATAGAAGTGAAGAGAGAATCATGCGACTGGTTTTATCTAATAAATAGAGTGAGCTCCACTATTTTATTTACCTTTTGTATCATTACCCATATTTATATTCACTTTTTGTATAATTACTCTTATTTAAGAATCCAAAACAATATGTGTTTGTCCACTATTTATTCGCTTTATTATCATTGTTCTTATTTGAGAATCCAAAACAATCTGTGTTTGTCCAACTATGCCATCTATATGCTAAATTGCTAAGTGCATAGTTCATATGCGATGTTGTATATACATACAATGGCAAGAAGCAAGAACACCTAATACTTGTGAGGACTTTTCTTTAATCATCGTTATTATTCTTACTTTTTTTATATATATAAATGAAATCGGTCATATGAATTTTTCTAATAATTGTCTAATTTTCTTTCAGAAATTGAATTTACCGTATTTCATACTAGCTAGTGAACGACCCTTTTTACTAGATGAAATCTCATCAAACCCTAATATAGTTTTATCACCAATAGGTTTAACAACACTAATCATTTTATCAAGCTTAATTAGTCCAGAACAAAAGACAATCAATTTCTCTTGTAATTTTTCAAATTAAGGTTCAAGAAGATTAACTTTAGAAACAAGAGATTCTCTAGCAGAATTAGCCTGACTTACCTCGCTCTCAAGAATTTTTACATTTTCTTGAAAATTTTGAATTTCAGTTTTGTTCTCCTCAAATAATTTTTGTTTTTGCTCATTCTACTGATGCAAAGCATATTTCTCTCCTTCTTCAAGGCATCTGTTTTTTTCATCAAAGCATCTCTTCTTTTTCATCAACTTCAGTTTGTAATCCTTTGACAATGCCTCAAAAAGTTTTGCAATTTGCTTTCAATTGGTTCTCCATCAATTTTTATTATTCTTCGTATCATAAGATCGAACACCTCGTTCAATGTCACAAATTTGGTATAATCCCCTACACAAGAAGAATCATTAGCAGTATTATTATCAACAAATTTCTTAGTTTTGTTTTATCTTTGAATTTAGAAAGATCTCCGACCTTTACTACAATTTTTGTTCTTTTTATTCTTAAGGAGTCTTTCAAACTTTTTAAAGAGAGCTATGTCATCCTCATAATTTAACTCATCATATAAAAGATCCAATTCATCATCTTTCATTGGATTCTCCATGATGAATATTTGAAAACAAAAATAAAGTTATTTTCAAAAGAAAAATATTTCCACGCGGAACAACTCATTATGTAGATATTGACTTTGATACCAATTATGAGTTCTGCTTTGTGGAATGGATGTGAAAATTTGATGTAAAAATGACATAGAGGGGGTAAATAGATTTTACTTGCTCTTTTATTTAATTTTAAAATTATTTTAATTTTACCGAAATAAAACTAAAACAACCCACAAAGTAAAATAAAGTGCAAGTAAAGTATGTAAAGTTTGAGAGATGACACCAGGATTTTTATTCGTGTAAACCATAGTTGGAAGAAATTTGACCAATCGAAGACTTTCGCAACTTCGAGCGAAATGATTCACTATCTTCGAAGCAAAGTATAATAGACTTTGATTCAGGCTCACACTCACTTCACGCTACCAAGAACTAGTTGTTGAACTCCAGACGGACTCTCGCAACTCCTCGTCCGATTGCTGCAGACTCCAGGATTATTCGTCAATCCTTGTAAAAAGATTACTGGTAGATCATAAACACTCTGAGAATGCTCTGGTTTGGTGTGTTCGTGTTCCTTTTCATTCTCATTCTCTAGTTGTTAATGTTTTGTAGAAGCTGGAACTTTTTTATCTGGAGGCATGTTTCCAAGGCTTTTTATTGCACAAGCAGGCCATCAAGCAATCCTCTCTTTGTGGAATGAGAGGTGAATCCATTGATCATTTATTGTTACATTTTCCCAAAGCTAGAGAGATATTCAAATTATCCCCTTTGCGTATTGATTTTGTCTCTTCAAAGCAAGTATTTTTTGAGGCTTGGTGGAGTGATCTGGTTAAGTCATTGGGGTCATCGGAGGAAGGAAGGAAGGAAGAAGGTGGGATTCGCAGCTACAATTTGTTGGTACATTTGGAAAGGTAGAAATGCATGGGAATTTAATGGTGATATGTGGTAGGCGAGGACTATTGTGGGAAATTGCGATGGCACAATTTTGGGAATTCATTGAGGCCACTTCCCTTTTCTATCAGCAGATGGAAGATAGGACTGAAAAGAAGTCGCAAATCCAATGTGTGTCTAGAGATGGATGGGTGCCACCCATGGAACGACTGATTAAATGTAATGCAGATGCATGATTTGATGCTCGATTGCAAATAGGAGGTGGGGGTGTGACAATCAAGAATTCAAAAGGGGACGATGTCAAAGGGGTGGTGTTGGGGCAGTTTCGAGCACAATCGGTTACGATAGCAGAGGCTATTTGTGTAGGGAAAGTGATAGAGTGGGCTTTGGAATTTCAATTTATGAATATTTTGTTTGAATTGAATTATCTAATTGTGTAATTGGTGATGTTTCGGATTAATCATGTTTGTAGACATGACAACGAGATCACTCATGTTATGAGAAAATTCTCCGAAGGGCATATTGGAAATGATGTTGCTGTGACAAAAAAATAAAAGTAAAAATAAATAATAAATAAAAAGCAACCCTCTCTTAGAGCTTTCGGAGCTGTGCTATATGCAAGTGGATGCTCAATTTGGTGATTCAAGCTTTCTCTAGTACGTGTAGGCTTGTCGCAGAGGTTGTCGTACTCGGGGATATTTAAAGACGTTGAACCAAATTGATTGTTGAGACTTGTTATCAATAAATACAATACAATTGCGTGTACACTTTTCATTGTGTGTTGAAACTTTGTTATCAATAAAGACAATACAATTGCGTACATTTTTCTTAAATTGTTTTTTTCTTATTTTTATTTTTATTCATGCTTTAACGGATTGATGTCTCAGTAATACTGTTTATCATCCAAATTTTCCCCACACAAAAAACTATTAATTTAAATAAATTAGAGAACCAGCCTGTTCACAACCATTGAAATTATGATTGGTATATCAAATCAAAACCTTTTTTAAAATAAATATTATTCATTTTAATAATATTTTTACAAAATTCGTTGAAGTGGGGGCTACATAATTCTGAATTTTCTATTGGAATGTAGGACAAATATTAGCATTGGTTTCAGAAATGTTATATAATACTATATATACTACAACAGGAATATTCTCTTCATATCTCATTGACTTCTTCTATACCATATCTACTTAACGGTTCAATTTCCCCCATTCATGCTGAAAACTTTCAGAAAACCCAGAAGAAAGTAGAGTGTGATAATAGACAGAGAGAAAACATGTTGACCATAAACGGCGATCAAAACTATGATCGGCTCAAAGAGGTGAAACAGTTTGACGATTCCAAGGTCGGCGTCAAAGGCCTCGTCGACTCCGGACTCACTTCCATTCCTCGCTTTTTTCATCACCCACCCGAAACTCGACCCACCCAACCTACACCCGACTCCACCTCCGCCCCTCGGACCATTCCCGTCGTCGATTTCTCACAACCCCGGTCCACCGTCGTTGATCAGATCAGACGGGCCTCGTCCTCCCTGGGATTCTTCCAGATCATCAATCACAGCGTCCCCCAAGGCGCCCTCGACCGCATGATCGCCGGCATCAAAGATTTCAACGAGCAACCGACGGAGATAAAGGCGCAGCACTACCACAGAGAGGCGGGCCGCGGCGCAGCGTTCTCCACCAACTTCGACTTGTACCAATCGAAAGCCGCCAGCTGGAGGGACACGCTTCAGATAAGGTTGGGGCCCACTCCTCCCGACTACGATTCCCTTCCGGAGGTCTGCAGGGCGGCGGTGGCGGAGTGGGACCCCGAGATCAGACGTCTGGGAGAGGATCTGATGGGGTTGTTGTCAGAGGGATTGGGGTTGAGTAAGGACAGGCTGAAGGAACTGTCGTGTTTGGATGGGAGGGTAATGGCGGCCCACTATTACCCGTATTGTCCTCAGCCTGATCTGACGGTTGGGCTCACTTCTCATACAGATCCAGGGGTGTTGACGATGGTGCTGCAGAACCAGGTTAGTGGGTTGCAGGTTAAGTACGGTGAGGATTGGGTTGATGTTGAACCTGTTTCTGGAGCTCTTGTTATCAACATAGGGGATATACTTCAGGTAAGCACCTTCTGCTTATATAGTATATATATATATATTATTTTTAGCAAATTATTGATGTATATGTTTGTCACATATTGTTTTTAATTCTTTAAATACACTAGTATGAGGTTGGTCCATCAAATTTTAGCTTTCACAAGTCTCTAATAAGATTTTGTGGGCCACCATTTGGTCTGCTTTCAAAAGAAAATTGATAAGAGCATAATAAATGTCCCATTTCGCACATAGGAGCATAATAAATGATAAGAGCATAATAAATAATTGAGAGTTTCGTATCCACTCTACTAATATAATTACCTAGTCTCTGTTTGTTAAACTTTAACCTGAAGTGTTGAATGTTGTTGTATATGAAGATCAAAATAATTTAATGAACACGTAATTTCATATGAATTTGCTTAGCAGTTACTCGAAGTTGTGCTAGAATTGTAATGATTGAAGCTAAATACAATGTTCATAGTGTGCATAATGAGAGTGCCCATTTTAGGTTTTTTCAAGAGAAACATGCGACAACTAGGGCTTGTTATATATGTTATACACTTTGTTAGAACTACTTGCTATCTTATTAACTATAGTTTCAATGACAGTATTACTTTGTTGTACATCAGTATTATAGTTAAAAATATATGAATCATAAGATTGGTTAACTAAATTAGAAGAAATGATATATGTAGATTTTCGATCCTTGATTAAACGGATTTTGCAAGTAACACAGAATTAGAGTCAAATGAATTAGTATTTGCGATATAAGGGGACTCGGAGTTCCACTCCACGCTTTTAAGTTAGTTAACCGAAGTCATCCCTCAAACTCCGGCCTTTTTATGTTGCTAAATGTTAAGTGATGAAGTATCAGAAAAGTAAGTGCTCTCTATATTCAGAAAGTAATTTTGTACACTTCACGCAATCCAATCCCATTTTCTTCTCTTTTGCTACAAGTTATAGAAACGTACAATTGTTCTAGAACCTTCTTTTAGAACCCTCCTTACTGGGCCGATCTCTAGTAAGTCTTCTACTTGGGCCGTTATGCGAGGAAGATTCTCTCAACATGATGCGGAGGTTGGGCTTGGAGGTGGTCTTAATGACTATTGGGCCTGTTGGGCCGTTTCGCGTGTGGACTGATGACCTTTTCCAGCTCTGGGCCCAATGGATCAATCCATTCACGGCCCGGTTCATTTTTGGTACCCTCAAATTTCAATGCGAAACTTAACTTGATTTGATGTAGTTTTTGTTTAATCGTGTGCGTATGTAAGAAATATGCCAAGAATATATTATTTAAAAGATGAGTTCAAGAGGAAACAGCTAGGGTCTTTAATTGCATGTTAGGATCTATGTTGTTATTACTCAGTTTAACTCCAATTACATTGTATTGGTTGTGAACTCATGTCAATGTTCATCAACTGAATTAGAAGAGAGAGAGATGAAATTTTGATATGAGTTTAATCAGGTCATGAGGAAAACATGGTTTTGACCATTGTGACAGATGAAACTCAAAAGTTCCATGTTTTCTGTCTTTTAATTTAATTGACTAACCTTACCTTTTAACTCTTACACAACATATAAGAACATACTTGCCCATTTGGAGTAAGTTCAAGAGATTTAATGTATAAAATTGAGTCACAGAGTTATATTGGTTGATCGGAGGGTTTCTAGCATGATAACAAGTGTGTCGTCCTTGTACACTCGTACAAGAAAATGACTGCAAGTAGGGCCTGTTATACTGCTGTGAACGCTCCATTCAATCATATTTTGGGGCTTGTTTTTTTGGTACATGTTAGGATCTTTCTTAGTTAGCCATTTCTCTTCACCTTGTTTGAAAGGAATTCATACCCGTTCAGGAAAACGAAAAAAAGGTTTTAAGGCCTTGATGCAATTTGTGATTTCACTGTTACAAAGATACAATATTAGAAGTGGTGGGACAGGTATTGACTTCATTTTTCTGATTGCATGATTTTTTTTTTGATAAGTTTTTTTTTTATGGCATATTAATCCTATTATTAAGTTTTGTACACAATGATTTGCCAGCAGGAAGAGTAAACAGAATTTTAAAGTTTGTCTTGGGATTATCAGATTATGTCTTCTGTGAGTAATAATGGGCTTGATATGGTCAATTAGGTTTTAATTAAATGATGTTTTGAGAATTTACTTGCTTGTGTTTGTGGAAATAAAGAGTAAAGAAATATAAGAATTGGAAAAGAATGATAACTACTAGCAAATAAATTGAACCCTGAGCTTTAAAGGCGAAAAACAAAAAATGGCAAATGGAATGTTGTTTGAGCTAAAATATTAATTGTAAAGCCATTTTAATGGAAGATGATTGGGTGAGGGAATAAATTCCCGTCATAAGGTATGTCGTAATGCCATGTCTAGGTCTAGGAATTATTTTTCTGTTGTTCACACTTTTGTCTTGGTTTTTGAGTCAAAATAGAGTTTGAAGGGTTTGTGTGTGTGTGTCATGCTAGTAAGCAATTGCATGGTAGTACTCTCCGGTACATTCCCATTAAAACCTGTTGAATTAATCGGTGCGCTATGATTTTACATGCTTAGAAGCTGCTTCAAGTATATTAATGACATTTGTTCGAATAGATGTTTTGATCCAATTTTTGGAAGGCCACATTTGGGTTTAACCTCTAAAATTTGACAATCTAATGGCATAACTAGTGGCCGCAAAAAATTGGAGCATACTCAATCGAGGCTATGATACCTGCTTTGTTACCTAACTAGATATCCATATATTTTCAGAAGTTCATACAAAAAATTTTGAACCTTATGTGTTTGAACTGGGTCCTAAATCAAATAACCGTAAAGATTCTGTTTAGTTTGGATAAAACGGGGGCATTAAGGTGCCTGCCATTTTCAATGATTATCAAATGCCCAGATTTCAGATATCTATTTTTTGTTTGGACGTTTTTCCTGAACTAGTTCAGCAGCTTGAGCAAGTAACATACGTGTTTCAAAGTTTTTATCTTTACAATAAAAGAGAACTGAAGTTTATCGTGCAACCATTAACAATAATATGATAAACTAAAATAATACATAGCAAAAGTGGATCTTGTCTGCGTTTTGATTTTTAAAATTTTGTGGGATCCATTGGAAGAGAAAAGACATAAGTCTTTTTTGAAATTTGAAATTTATGTTGGGCAAATGCCCCCACTGGTTTGCCACTATAATAAGATACCTATTTGGATTGGTATCTAGGATGTGAAACAAAAATGAATCAGTGATTGTTTAAATGAGATTACAAATTAGGTGAAAATTTCTTGTGTGTGTGTGTATGTGTGTTGTGTGACGGAGAGAGAGATCATTATGAACTTTTTGCTTGATGGGCGTAGCTGCATTTATAGCTAAATGTCTCCTGGTTCCTGGTTGAGATTATAGGATACACCCTTCACCGACCATTTTTATATCCTTGCAGTTGTTAGTTTTCATCGTTATGGTCAGCAAAATTCAGACGCAAACCGTGGAGCAATTTTAGCTTTTGATAGTACTTTTAAAATACTGAGCAAAAGATGTCTCAGTAGTTGAAACTTGAAATGCAATCTTTGGCATTTAGAACTTGTATATTGGCTGCTAGACACAATCAGTTAGGACTCTCATTATTTTTCCGAGTAGGGGCAGTTGTCGAATTTATGCTATCATGCCTGTCAAGCTGTCACGACTACCATTGGTGCTCCCTTATGTTAACTGTACTGCATCCCATTGATGTTGAGCAGTGATCATTGAATGATGCATGCCAACACTAGAACTGCTCTGACTTCTGAGGACTACTTTTGTTATCTTCAGTTTATCATTTACATTTCTCATGAAATTTGATTTTCTTTTTCTCTCCCTTACAAGCTATTCAGAGCTCTGTGATTTTCTCGAAATTTTATAGTTGTGCTGATTTTGAACCTACTCAAAATCGCTATATTTGCAGTTAATTTTTTTTTAACAAATTGACTTGTGCCAAAATAAATAAATAAAAAAGAAAAAAGTTGTTGGTAGGCAGTAGTATTCTATTTTCCGTATTAAACAATCTTCAATTTGTTTTATTTATTTATTATTTTTGAAATCTAGTTCAAACTTGAAATTTGCAACATTTTGAATGGATATAGTGAGTTTACCATACCAGCCATGCCTCCCGGCCCGGCCTTGCTTACTTGCATTTGTTCTCTCTTGATATTAGGAGATACTTTTCTCTAGATATTTCACTACACCAAGGCAGAAAAGATGTTTTTTAATTGCAGTTAACATTTTGAAACAATAGACTTTTTCGTTGTCCGAACGGTGAAAATCCAAACCTAGGTGACAGAGTCAGTTCCTTACTTTCTTCCAAATTCGCCTACAATTCCTGTAAAAAGGAAATAAATTACAACAGACATGGACTTTCTTTCAGTTTGATGCTAACATTGAAATGGCATACTTATTTATTGTTATTGTTTTTATTTTTCTATTATGTATTTTTGAGGGTTGTAAATAAATGGAGCATAGGATTTTTATTAATTATGTTGCAACTGTCTATCAGATACACACACAATGTGTTTGTTCGTTGTTAGGATACCTAACTTTCCTTTTGCAGATCATATCCAATGAAGAATACAAAAGCGTCGAGCATCGAGTGTTAGCCAACCCCCATCTCGACGCGCGTATCTCTATTGCAGTTTTCTTCAACCCAGGCGCCAGAGAGAACTTGTTTGGACCATTGCCAGAGCTTGTATCACAAGAGAAACCAGCTGTTTACCGCGAATTTGTATATGCAGACTTCATGGGAAAATTCTTCACGAAGGAGTTGGATGGGAAGTCCTTGACTAATTACTATAAACTCTGATACTCAAAAGGGCCCACACTGGATGAACAAGAATATATTCCAGGTACCATGTTTGTATAATCTGTAAACAATAATTTGTGTTTTTGTTCACGATGGGCAAAAGGGAAATAATTAGATATACAAACTCTGTAAGAAGTTTATTTATTGTCTTCACTCATAGAAGAAGACCACAGGTTATAAACTTTGTACTATACATTTTAAATTTCCTGCAGCTTTCTTTGAGCTACTATAGATCCTGGAATTTACTGTATAATTTATGTGTGATGTATGCAATAAGTGAGGTACATGTTTAGATGCCTCTTGTTTGATCTAATGAATGAAGAGACCTAGACTATTCTATTCATCTTTTGTATCATTACTCTAATTTTATTCGATATTTTGTATCATTGCTCTTATTTTATAAACTAAAACGATCCGTATTTGTCAAAGTATTCACTTTTTGTATCATTACTCATATCTTGTTCGCTTTTTGTATCATTACTCTTATTTCCGGAACAAGTGTTTGTCCGACTAGTCGTGATTGGAGTTGTAAAAGAGCATGACTCGAGTTTGCATTAACCTTTAATGGCCTAATATCCCAGCCTAGTCTACCGCATTTGGATTTTGCTTCGAATATCATTGCTTTCTTTTTTATCCAAAAAAAGGAATATCAGCATAATTGCAAATTGTCAATTATTTGCAGAATTTCTTTTAGCAAAGTCATTTCTTAGGTAATATATGCAGTTTTTTTATATTCTACTTGACTTCTATCTCTTACTCGTCATGAGTGGATTGGCTACATGAATTTCCTGAGTGACAAAATTCCGAAAATTGAAGGCTTTAAAGTATTTCATAATGCATTGTATTCCTTATAAAAAATAATAATAATAATAATAAATAATAATAATAATAATAAATAATAATAATAATTAATGGACAAAATTATAACTTCATGAAAAAAAATTGTAGGATACTAACCTGTGAAAGAGCTGATTATTCTTTATCCCCTCAAAAGTGGAAACAAATACACAATACTGACGTTCATTTACAGTATTGTCCATATCACGACTCAAACTATCAATCTTCTTGTTAGAAAGAAGAGAGCATTCAATCTGAGTTAATGCTTATTGATAAAGAGCCGACTTGCTAGAAAAAGTGTCTACGAAATTAAAAAATTTGTCGTGCGTGATAGAGAATCATGGAAAATATATTTTTCGGAATGGAATCTGAGACAATATTATTAGGAGAAGGAAAGTAGGTATTGCTTGAGAAGGTTGATGTGTTGTTTTCTGCAAGTGCATCATCACAAATTAAATACAATAAATAAAAAGAGAAAGGCCAACAACATTTTCTATTAATTAGTTTAGGTTCTGTTTTTTCCAAGAAAGAAACAAGAGAAGTTTCATGCTTTGTTGGAGATAGGTATGACAATGACTGAGGAACAAAAAAACAATTGATTAAGATAAAGAAAGATGAAGAGGACACAACTTGAGCCTATGGCATATAATAAAAACATTGTAGAATAGTCGAATCTGATGCAAAGAGCGCACTTAAAGCTTCCCACCACTTTTGAATAGTGTGTGTGTGTGTATATATATATATATGCGCCAAGTTGAAAAAGAAGGGTATAAAGTCTTAGATAGCTTCTAAGTTCTAATCCTACTTTAAAATTTTCTTCTTTTTATATAAATATTTATACATATATGAACGACCATGAGTGACTTTGTGACGTATATATGCAAATTGTTAGTACAAAAGTGTGCAAAGTAGACGGTTTACATGGTATATGCAGGTCGTGATTAGTCACGAATTTAGCATAGAACCAGTGGGGGCGTATGCAGGCACTAAAAATTTTTTATTTGTATTATTACCTATGTACGTTGTTAAAATTTAAATATCCATCATATACTTTGTTAAGTAAGCTCTTATGATTATTATTTTATTTTAAAAAAAAATGAGCCGCGATCATATAACACTCACATAATATGCATATATTTCTCTCCATAGGTTCTCCCCCTAATGTTTATTTTAGGAAAGAACAAAGACCTTCCCTCATTCGACGGTTAATGAAGCAATAAAAATACTAAAATGCCCTTCCTACAATTAAAATAAAAATAGTAAAAAATTCAATTAATGTAAAATGACTATTATGGCTTTTGTTAAACAAATTTAGTTAAAGAAGGACGTTTCAGTATTTAGATAGTAAAAAATAGTAAACAAAATTTAGTTAAAAAATACTAAAAAAATTCAGTCAAAAAAGGGCATTTTAAGTATTTAATACAATTAATTAGTCCTCAGCGAGGCACATGATTTGTTAATAGTTAGTTTGTAACATTTTTAAAATTTTAAGGGATTAATTATATACCCAAAGTAAATGAAGGGTGTTATTTACTCAAAAAGTAAACTTTAAAGATATTTTTAAAAAATTATCTTTAAATTCAATTTCTTTAATGGCGGCTCCGTCAACAAAATTTGTTGCTCTGTCATTTATCATGACAAATGATATTAGAGCTCATTATTTCTAAATTCATTTTCTTTAATGACGGCCCCTCAACAAAATTTCTACGTCTGTCACTTAGTGTGACAAGTGATACTAAAACTCATTCTAACCAGAAATAAGGGAACGTGAACAAGTTCGTACACGGCCTTCACACAAATACATGAAAAGTTTATTTTTACTTAAGAGAAATGATAGGTCTTCCGATCTCAATTACCGACTCTTCTTACGAATACAACGTGGTTGGATCACGTTGAAACTCTTAAAAAAAATCCCATAAACATCTCTTTCTCTTCTACTTATTTCTAACCACGTGGTATTTGGAAGAGAAATCAACAATTGAAGTCGGAAGATCTATCGTTACTCTTTACTTAATTATACAATTCCACATACATATATGCATGGCTAACATTTATAAATTGATGCTGTCAATTACGGAAAAGGACTACAAGTAAAGCCTAATTTGCCATAGGCAATATCTATATATATATATATATATATATATATATGATAATGACCAAGTTGTCATCACAATCAAAATTCCAAAAAAGCTGCCTCTTTGTGGGCACGGCTTTCATATTTTTCCAATGTAACAAAGTCACGAATTATCTGCGACTGTTGGCGTGCGCGTGCTAGAAAGAGTCTCTCACTACATTGCCTTGATGTCAAGAAAGTATCATGACCATGCTTTTATACAAAACTGCAACCTTTTCTTCTAACAAAAACTAAATGTGGACCTCTAACTTTATAAAAGCTTAAAAAAATTTCCTTCCACAAAAAGGAATATGGAATATATATATGCATCCTGATAGGAATGATTTAACAAAAGATGGAACCATGCATGCTGATAAAAAATTTAAATTACATGTATAAAAAAGTTGTTAACAGAGTTGGTTCACCTTAATTATCCATTTAATATTGTACAAGAATAATTAATTGATCATCCTTATGATGTTAGAAAAGATTACAACATTTCCTGGTTTTTATTTACATCCATAATTTTCTTTTTAAGATCAAGGGAAGAGCAGGATTACTAATTAATGTCCAATTGGAATAGAGGTTCCAAATCAAAAATTGGAATTATTACACATTATCATTTGATTGACTCGTATTAAACATAATTACTGACGTGGATATAAAAAAATACCGCTCATTTGCCCAAACTACTCTTAGTACTTTTAGGTACTACTGTTAATATTTTCAGGTACCACTTTTGTTCTGGTATAGAAATATCACATTTATGTACATAGATATCACTTTTTGTGCACAAGTATCATATTTTTTTACAAACCATGTCATCATGTACCATTTTTTGTGCTGCATAAAAAATGGTACATATGTGCCCAAAAAGTGATATTTATGTGCATAAAGTACATGATACATTTATGCCCTTTATGCCCAAAACATAAGTAGTGCATAAAAATAGTAAGAGTAGTTTGGACAATAAACACTATTTTTACATGTCCACTCTAACATTTTAGTCAACTTTATTTTTTTTAAATATCTTGATTTTATCCATCCAAAGGTAAATATGTATCAATAACATCATGTAAGTGTAATAATAACACCAAAGATGATGCCATGAACAAACAGTGATTGCTGGCAGACGAAAGATGATGAGTAGGAGGAATGGTACACAGAAGCCATTGACCATTGTGTAAAATACAGTTCAATTCTCGAAGCAGTAACTATTTGCAGAACAACAGTATTTAGAATAAAAATTCAAAATAAAAAAATTTATATCCCTTTCGATGTATTAGATAAGGATAAAAATTCCTCAACTATCATTCAGAATGTTGGGTCCGGAACTACTTAATCAAATTAGGTATCTCTCTACTCTCTCTGGTGTTCTCCCAGCACCTCACATGGCACTTTTATCACGAAATAAATGAATAGGCCACCCACTATTGCTGTGTGCTGAAAAACTACCAAATATAAATGAGGAGATAAATGGTCCCTGGTATGTTTGGCATGGTGGATAAGCCTAAACAAGTTCAGACCTAACAGAACCACAAACTGCCCGCTTTTGGTAGCCAAAACCTAGTAACTTGTTTGCTATTTCTGGCTCAGATAGGTCTTTTAAGTAACAGAATTACAAAGTGAAATTAGTTGGACTAACAGAAAATGGGAAAAGGAAAACGATAGAGACTGATAATTTTCACAAGTCCAACAAGTATTTCTATATAAGAGAGAGAAAGAGAACAATCTTTATTTCAAAATCTCCATTTCTGTTAGCTAGTAGTATACAGAGTTTTCGAGCTAACTAGTTCACTAATCTTCCATGTTTGTGAAGATCCCAGGACAAACTTAGTGACGGTAGACAATGTTGTATGTACAAAAAAAAAAAAAAAAAAAATTAAAAGAAGATTTTTTTCTAACTTAGAAAACAAGAGGGACTTCATCTACTTGTTGTTGTTGGTGCTTCGGATACATGAGCCGATCTACTAGTATGTCTAAGGCTTCTTTCATCCACCCATGCTTACAGACTTCTTTAGCTTTCGTCACGCTCATCTACACAAGATAATTTAATACATCCATAAGTAAACATATATATATATATATATATATATGAAACCATCAACAAGAAAAAAATTGCAGTGATAGTGTGCAATCTTACCCATTTTCTGTCCCGGACATTTTTCTCCGGCCATTGATCAAGTTCTTCGGTAACAAGCAATGGGAACATGTGCCCTTCGTGATATATCCCAAGGCTTCTGCTCTTGAATTTCCATTCCCCCAATTCACTCTGCAATTTTATCATCATATACACTGATTAATAAGTTGATGACACACACATCTATACACATAAATTGAGCGGGAAAACTGACCTCAAGTTTGCCACGAACCCCGGCTTCTTCAAGCGATTCGCGGTTAGCTGCATCTTCAGCAGATTCATCAAGTTCCCAACCTCCCTGTTGATTCACATTATCAAAATTAGTACATAATGTTAATTAATGGATGATCGATTACCAATATTTATGGAATGTATTCGGAAATAAAATTGGCGGTTAATTCATTACCTTGGGGAACATCATTTCTTGACCTTTCTGTGAACTGATAACAAGAACTTCCAAGTCAAGATCATTTACTGCACCTTCGTCATTCTTATTCTTATATCTATATGGAATACACCTGCAAGATTATAATAAATCAACTGAGTTTAGAAAATTTCAATTCCATTTCGGGAGAAGAGAAAAAAAATACAGCAACCTCTTAAAAAAAATTGATCTTTTTAACAATGAAAACAATATATATAGTTATATTTTGTGAATCAAACGTATTTTTTTGCTCATTTGCTACAAAAACAACTTTAACATGACACTAATATTTTTTATAAAAATAAATAAAATAAAAAAACAGTTTAGGCCATGAAGGGAGTTTGATGAGCTAGAAAGAAATATGTATGTATCTATATATATATATGTATATATGTAGATCCAGAGGGAAGGCAGAAACGTACCCCACAACGAGGCGGCGACCACTGTTATATCTCTGCAAATGCCTACCGGTGCGAGAAACCATACAAACCATGATTCTTTCTTCTAAACTTGTTGCAGACAATTTCAAAACAACCAAATTGTGTAGTATATACAAAATTTAGCCTTGTTAACTGATTTTAATTTCTCAGTATGGATTTCTATTACTCAACAATTAGTGGTTGTTTGGATGGATGAGAAATGAGAAATGAGGAGGGTATATATAGAGGAGGGAAGGAAAATAAATAAAAATAAATAAAGGTGGGCGTACGTTTGTGGAATACTTAGTAACAATTAAGGTGGATTTGGTGGAAAGCGGTGCTAACGAACGCCGTGGATGCGTAGATACAGAAATGACATTTATGTATACGAAGACTGTTACCACTAACAACTACTAATAGTGCCACGTCGCCTTCCTAGATGGATCCAATCAACTTAGTAAACTTCTCTGTACTTTCTCAACTGATATATCTTTTATTTTGCTATTATTGTTTTTTTTTTTTTTAGTTAATCCGCAAAATTGGATAAACATGCACAATTATTTTTGCTTGTTTAATTTTAGTTCCACGGTCCGATAATTTTGACTATTTTGATGGAATGAAAATTGACGGATGGACGGTGAAATTAATCTAATGGTTAGATAAATCAATAAGCAATCTCATTGGTATTGAATAACATAGATGATCACGACCTTTTGTAGTTCAAGTCAAGTCTAATCTGAATTTTTAAAAAATGTCTTCTATGAAAATTCTAGTTTTTTAATTTTCATAGAAGATTCAAAATTAATACTTCAAATTTGAAGAGTTGCTTGTACGTGAATGTAAAGAGCTTCTCAATTAATCTAAAGAAGGTTATAGAAAAGAGCAACACTACTACTTTGGAAGAAGAAATGTTTTTAATGCATGATACATTCATCATTCCTGTTAGAAGGTGCAGACTCTTCTTCAAACACAAATTATTTTTTTATTCTTTTAGCTAACCGGATACCCGGGCCTTTGCCCCGACTAAATTTTCGACACACAATTTAAAGTACTTTCATATGAGTCAAGTAATGTTTGGGCTTTCCCTCGCATGTATGGTCTCAAAAAAAATTATTTACATGTTAGGGAAGTTAGGCTTTATAGCTGATACTCCGCGAGGCACCGAATTAACCTAATGAAGTTAAACTCCAATAATTTTAGAAATTGTATCATCCAAGTATGAACAAAAATATTTTTCTATTATCTATCAAAGTGTCAACTAGGAGTGAGATTATAATTATAGCTTGTGAGGCTGATCAGATGTTACTAGAAAAGTTACAACACTCAAGTGTTGCACGAGTTTTGACGAGTACTTAGACGTGAATCAACAACTAAGCTTTCCTTTTTCAGCATTTGATATATCTTTAATTAATAGTATTATGTTTTATAGTTTAAGAATATACTGTTTTCCCATATGCTTAAAATACTTTGTTAATTAGTATTCAAAAAATGAATAAATTAATTAATATATAAACATTAGTCGTCTATTGTTCCACACGGATTTGGTTTGTGGCATGCTGGCAGTAGCGTTAGATTATAATTTAAATAATATATTATAAAATCATACGAGTTCCATGATCTAACATTTGGAATCATTTGAATCATTTCTCTGTAAATGTTTACAAATATTTAAGATATTGAACGTGAAAATCATGTAAATTAACTAACCTATCTAAAAACAAAAAGCAAAAACAGATGATTCCAAAATCGAAACCATGTTCTTGTTAATTATTAATTCAAACCAACCATATGATTTTTTGTTTTGAAAAGTAAACCAACCATATGATGTGATTCAAATTTGACCCTTTTTCAAAAGTCTTCCTCCATTTCTAGCGCTATTTACGCACAACCGTGTGATATCAAAGCACATGATTACAATAAAGAGATCAACTATTTCACTCTATTGCTTCCCTACCAATTAAAATATATATATATATAGATAAGACGTACGAAATATTCCCATAACAAGATAATGAAATTAAAGTTTAAAAACATAATATATACTATATAAAATATTGGATTTGTTTTATAGTTAACAGAAAAAGATTCCCACACTCCACTCTTTGTTACTACAAGTCTACAATTAACGAAAGTTTTTTGTTTTCCTTTTTTTTTTTTTTTTTTTTTTTCAAAATGTGAATATTGATAATAGTCATCGTATTAAAAAAATAAAAAGAAAAAATTGAGCACAAGAGATGTCGCCTTCAATGGAAGAACAGTTGAGGTTTATCTAAAAATGGTCGGACTCACGTGCGGTGGAAAAGTGTGTCCCGTCCGCCCACACCGTGAGAAATGTTTTGTCCATTTTTTCTTTTGTCCGTGTATTGTCTGTCTCTCCATCTTTATATATATATATATATATATATATATATATTTATAAAGAATGACTGCACCAGGGACTCTTCCATGTAAAATTACTGGTATAATTACTTTAAACTTTTAGAGTTGTTGAATGTGTGTGTGTGTATATATATATTCGAAAAATAAAGCAAATTTATAGATATATTAGAATGTTCAATGTATATTTCTCTCTTTAATACATGCAACCAACAATGGTGATATAAAAAATAAATAAATAAATAAATGTCACCGAATATTAAAAAAATGATATTTAATCAGGTTTAGTAGTTACGTATATTTGTCATATTGAAACAATTATGAGATTATTAATGGCCTATTGAAATTTGGGATGTATGCTCAACGACAACTTTAACGTTTTTTCCTTGATGTATAAATTGTCTAAATTTTATAAAATAATAATTTTGTTTTTCCTATCTCTATAATGTAATATAATATATTATTATAAGAGTAAAGTACAGCCACACCTCCTGAGGTTTGGCAAAAGGACACTCAGATGAAACTTACCTGTTTTTTGGGCAAAGACACCCCCTGAAGGTTCAAAAATAAACAAAGACATTCCTTTACATGAAAAATTGACCAAATTACTATTTGACCATTTAGGAGACTTTTTTAACTTTACAATTTAATAAATTAGACCAATCTACCCTCATGAATAATTTATGCATAAAAAAAAAAGTAAAAAAAAAAAAAAACTTTGTATTGTTAACTTCTTCTTCTTTTTTTTTTTTTTTTTTTTGTTATTTACTTTATAAATGTCCCAACTTCTTAAAAATATAAACGTCTAAAATGAATTTTTAATTCAATACATATAATTCAAATAAATTATATTTTGTTATTACTTCTTTTCTTTTTCTTTTTAATTTTTAAATTAAGATGCTTAATTCTTTCATCTAAAAAAATTAATCCAATCTCTTTTCCTTAAAAATAAAAAAAATATGGTACCAGTATAACTTTATGCATCTTAAATTATATATCAAATATTATGCATTTCCCAATATAAAAGAAAATACGTACTAGTATAACTTTATGCATGCCTTTCTTTTTTTTTTCCTATTGTTTTATTATTTTTTTTCCCTTTGTTTTATTATTATTCTTTTTTCTCTTTTATGTTGGAAAATGCGTAATATTTGATATATAATTTAAGATGCATGAAGTTATATTAGTACCATATTTTTTATTTTTAAGGAAAGAGATTGGTTTAATTTTTTTAGATGAAAGAATTAAGCATCTTAATTTAAAAATAAAAAAGAAAAAGAAAAGAAATATTAACAAAATATAATTTATTTGAAATATATGTATTAGATCAAAAAAATCCTTTTAAACATCTACATTTTTAAAAAATTGGGACATTTTAATTATAAAAAAAAAAAAAAAAAAAGTGAACAATATAAAGTTTTTTTTTTTTTTTTTTTTTGGTTTCTTTTTTTTTTATACATAAATTGTTCATGAGGGTAGATTGGTCCAATTTATTAAATTGTAAAGTTAAAAAGTCTCATAAACGGTTAAAGAGTAATTTGATCAATTTATCATGTAAAGGAGTGTCTTTGTCCATTTTTGAACCTTTAATAGGTATCTTTGTTCAAAGAATAATTAAATTTCATCTGAATATTCTTTCTAAAAGTGTGACTGTACTTTACCCTTATTATAATATAAAGGAATTATTGATTTTTAACACTCGAAGTGACACGAGGTAAAAATGAGTTTAGAAAAAGTCAAAATTATTAGCATAAACAAAAGAAGGGTCGTGACTAATGATTCCTGCCCACGTGGAGTGCTGTAAGCCCGGTAATGTAAAGGATGGGCATCTAAAAGTTGAATTGATTTGGAATCTAGAATAGTCAAATTGTTCCATCTCTTATTATTGTTGTGTTCTTATATTCTTATATTTTTATCTTTCTTTCTGTTTTTTTTTCACGCCATGTTACTATTATTCTTCATGATTGCCTTAAAATTGAGTAGTTAAAATTTATTTACAATTCTTTACTCTTATATATATATATATATATATATATATATATATATATATATATTACTTTAGCAAAAAATTCACACATTTAATTTATCTAGGTGGAGACTTGAACCTAAATTGTAACAGGTATATTATTTTGTTTTAATATTATTTATATTTTTCTGTATTTATTTTGGGAGGGGACTTGGGGAAGTATTGACTTCCAAATTTTAAGTCTAATTAACAACCATGAATTGTCTTTAACCGAACATGCATATGTCTTTTTTAGTATTTTCCCATGTGATTCGAGCAAAATGTTTCAAGATTGACCACAAGTTTCAATAATATACTATGTGAAACATACATTGCAAAAGTAATTAAAAAAAAGAACTTTTTTATTTGAAAATTTATGTCATATGTGTATCACGTTAAATAAAATATTTGTTCTTCAAAAAAAAAAATTTGAAAAAAAATTGCATTAAATTTAATTTACCATTATACATTTACTTAAATAAGACTTGAATTAATTTTGTTTAGATTTGATTATTAAAATTTAAATTTTTTTATATTAATTTTGCTCGTCTCCTTTTTTTCGGTTGTTTTTCGTTATTATTTACAAGTGCTAGTTAGATACTAGAGTTTCTCTCCCAACATTTACCCTAACATTAATGCCTTAAATTTTATCAATTAAAATAATATAATGAGGAATAATATACCGTGAAAGAACTTATCCTTAAGGTATATATTTTTCTTCATTCATCATTAGAAAAAATGTAACATGAAATTGGGGACATTGTTTGGGTATGACTAGGAAATGGAAGCTTCTAATCATATCATGTCATGACAGAATTCAATTATTATTGGAAACTTGACTCATTCTTGCACAACTCAATTGAA